TTTGGGGCATGGTGAAAAATAAACACCACTATGTATACTGAATTTATTATAATGATATAGATAATAAAACTTTTAAGACCAACTTTTCAAAATGTCAAGCATTGATCAAAGAAAAACATTACTTAATTGATGCTAAAATTACAGGTTAAAATTGAGATTCTTTTGAATGTCTCATACAATTTAAATAGGACAGAACACAGGCAAATAAAATATTTTAACAATTATTTGTTTGCCACTTAAATGTATGTGAAATATAAACAGTGTGGATTTAGTTTGATTTTTCTATTTATCTATTTGGTCTTATGGCTTTAGGGAGTTAAGCTAAAACTGTTTATCTCCTTCAGGTTGCAAGAATACTATAATACCATTTCATAATTATAGTAATTTTGGCAGATCCAAAAGAAAAAGTGGTTGAGATGTAGCTCAGTGTTAGAGCATCAGCCTAGCATAAGAAAGGCCCTGATCCCCAGAATTACAATAAAGAAAAGAGTATTTTCTTAAGATAGTCGCTACTTTGAGATTAGTTTAGTGACATTTGATTTTTGGTTAGAGCATAGGTCTTGGTTCTTTTTATAAACTAGTTCAAGTTTCAGCCAATAGTCATCTTTTTGAAAGTTAAAATTTATGACTTTCTCATGGGTTTTACCGGTTTAAAATCTTCTTCAAATTATGTAGTCTTTAAATTTCCTTTGATTCATATTATATATCTCATTTTCTTTACACCATTTTCTTTGCACTATTTTTAATAACAGTTATTTTAAGCATCTCTTTTAATTACTAGTTCACTCAGAAGTATTATGTTCTAGAAGTCCCAGTATCAGATTTTTGAAAATACCTACAGTTTGAGAACTAAGTCATCATCTTGAATCACATTTCTTTTCCTTATTTTGTGCAATCACTTGTGCTGATATGACTTGATATACAGCTCCTCCCTCTTTACCTAGCAATTATGTGTGCCCACTACTGGTGTTCACTACTTCCTGGGCTTGGGTTGCTTCTTTTGTCCATATATTTATTTAATCAAATGGTATTTACTGAGCATTAATCTGTGCTAAGCCTTATTCTAAGTTTTGTGGATGACAGAACTGTACAAACCAACAAAATCCTTGCCCATATAATGTTTATATTATACATTAAATAAGAAAAACATTCAAAGAAATACTTTAGGTATTTATTTCTTTAGGTATTATTATGACACGATAAAGAAATAAAATTAGGATGAACAGCAGGAGCAAGGGAGTCATTTTGAATGGGATGGTTGGAGAAATCTCATTAAAGCAATGGAAGTTGAAGGAAGACTGACAATTGAAGAAGGTTCATGAATTTCTGCAGAGATAACAGGAAGCACTAATGCTCTGGGAGTGGGGGTAGGGTAAGCATCTTCCAAGAAACCTGAAGAAGTCCTGTTACACTGTCCACAAAGCAATTGACAGGGACAGGCCCAAGGTTGGAAGTAGAGAAAGAACTTGGCGAGGAGTCAGAACACCATATTAGATGGAATAAAAGACCATTTAGAGGTTTAGAGAATGACCTTATCTGATCAGGCTGCTGTGTGGAAATGAGAATATTGGGAAGAGCCAGAGACAAACTGTAGAAACCAGTTAGAAAGAGAAAATTGTGACCCTAGGCTCATGGCTAAAGATGATGGTCACACAGCTGAATCTCATTAGTAATTATGGTGGATAGAGTCATCTAAGTTTTCTAGTGGAAAGAGGTAAGAAGTAAGGTGTAGAGAAGAATTACAAAACAAGAAGAAGAAAAACAAGGAAAGAATAATATTATTTTCAAGGATTAAAGTTGGGAAATGGGAAGAAATAGGATTGTAGTGGAATAAGAGTTCTGATATTTAAAGATTAAATTTGGGCTCTATCATTGATACTATTCAATTTGAATTTTAAGGGAGCAATAATTAAAATATAAATCTGGAAGCTTTCAGCATATTGTTTGTATTTAAATTCATAGCATCATGGGATAAGGTCATTTAAGGAATTATTGTAAATGGAGAATAGAATAAGGTTGAAAAACTAAGCACAATTTTTGAGATGTAATCCAACCTTCCATTATAATCTCCTGACATGGAAAGTAAGAATCCAAATGGTAGAAATTTTCTTGTGGTTGTTAAAGTTTAAGGGTTAGCTAAATCTGTATTCTCCCATTGTTTTCTGTTGAGAAAATGCTCAGAAATTACCACAGGATGTGAGTAGTGCTTGTGCTGGAGTTGGGCTTGTGGGGAAGTGAAGCTCACAGACACAGGGAGGTTTGTGAGGATTTGAGAGAGGAATGGAAATGATACACGTTGGAGGGGCTTTTACCTAAAGGTGCTACTTACAGATGTTGAAGTAATAAAACACGAAAAAGAGGTTATTTTCCATGCAGCTCAGTGACAATTTTAGAAACCATCAAAACTGCATTAGATTAACCTTTTGGTAAATTGAATTTAATTAGAGAAGTAACTTGAAGCAAGTATATTTAGTCTTCACAACTCATAGTTCATGTATTTGATACATACTCAAGACTTTAAAATAATGAGAGGAAATGATAATGATTAAACTTAGTATTACCTCCAAGCTTCTCATATGAGTAATTTATCAGTTCTCAAGTGGAGTATATCATAATTTGGGAGTTTGGATATTCTTTTTCTAAATTCCCTTAATTAAATATTGATTTAAATCTAAACACACTAAATATGCCTGTCTGAACTTCTATGCAGTATTTCTTAATGGCTAATGTGTATAAAACACTTACAAAGAAAAATCTTATTTTAAAAAATAACATATAAGCTTTTAACTTTAAAACAGAATCTGTATAATTATGTCATACTCTAAGTAAATAGTGTTATTATTTTATTATACTCTAAGTAAATAGTGTTATTATTTTAATGTTATATTATTAATATGACTGATATTATTTATATAGATTGTATATATTCATATTATAAATGTACAATGTTAATGTAATATATTAGTTGCATAATGAATGTAATACAATATATGATATATAAGTATAAGGAAGTACAAAGTAAGAAACACATGATATAGTAATTATAAGATTAATTTACTGTTAATATTCAGTAAATATATGAATTAAATGTTAAGTACACAATTAATGTTAAATGTTAAAATACACAGTTCTTTTTTTTGGGGGGTGTACAGGGGATCAAACTTGGCTCCTTGTATTTGCAGGGCAGGTGGCAGAACCACTGAGCTAAATCCCCGGCCCCAAGTACACAATTCTTAATGTAGTGGTCTGTTACCTGTCAGGTAAATCAAATGAATCTAGGACCATTTGAGCTTTGGGAAATATAATTAACAAATGATAGGTAGAGAAGGAAGTTCAGAGACTGGACATCAGATGGAACTTCACTCTACTCAGAATAGGTATGGGTAGACTGTGGAGTCCCAAGCAAGGTACAGTTAAAGTGGGGAATGGCCAGTGTCTGAAATTATGTGTTCCGAGCAAGGCTGAAGCACTGAATCCTCTGATTTAGATGTAGGAGAGTAAAAAGGCCTCTTGACAAATAGACAGGGCCTGTGTTGCACCATTCACAATGTCCTTGTGGCCCAGCATCTGGACCAGTTTAAGGAGTTGCCAGCAACCTCTGACAGCAGGGACAACCTCCTCTGTTTAAGTCTTGATGACCTTTGCTAATTAACTACTGCCACATGAAACATGATGATTTGGGAAATGAAACAATGTGACCACTAAATAGATTTAAAGATAGACAGATGGAAAATTACTTACTGCCATTTATACATTTGTAGGTGAGTTGGATTTTAACCTACATTAAACTAGGCATTTGCAACTATTAAGAACTGGATCAATATTGCCTGTAATTGCAATTACTGAATTTTGACTTCATTGTGAATATGGCTTAATTGGCTTAATTCCAGCTTTTCATTGATAATATCTCAGCATGAAGATATTACAGGCCAATGGTATATTTAGAAGTTCTTGCTCACTTTCAAATTATACTACTAGTTTTGTCTGTATTATTAGACAAGTGTTATCCTTTACCACCTATTACTGAGGCCCAACATTGTATATGGAAATTATTAAATAAATATCCTAAGAGATTGCATTGCTGATCTTAACTCTATGTAAATTTAATGACCCCTAAATGACCAAATGCTCCAAACTCCCCTCTATTACTCCCACCTGCTACCATTGTCTGGAGCAGCTCTGGACCAAGTTGTGATCCCCACAGTGGAATGTGATCTGATGCACAGATTCTCAACCCTAGCTCTATATTAATCTAAATGTAGAATTTTAATTTAAAATCTTGTAAAAGTGTCTGGTGGTCCATTCTAGAATTGTTAAATAAGAGTTGAGGGAGGATAGGAAATGTCTGTATTATTGAATAATATTCCTAATGATAAGCAGCCAAAAAGGAGAATTACAATCTAGAAATACAGATCAGGCCATGACTTAAGAGAAGTTACACAGAGGGATTTGCACTAATTAAGCTTCTGTGATCTGATCAGAAATGCAAAAATTAACCATATGTGAAATCTAAACATAAAAGACGGCAAGAGTTGAATAGTGGTTACCAGAGGCTGGGGGGAGAAGAGCAGGAAGGAGAGAGAGGAGAAAGGTTGGTCAGTACTAAGTTGGAGAGGAGATAGAAATTCTGGTGTTCTGTTGCACAGTAAGTGACCACAGATAGCAATGATGTAGTATATATTTCAAAAACCTGTAGTATACATTTTCAAAAACATTTGAAATAATTTCAAATGTTTTCACTAAAAAGAAATAACAAATATTTGAAGAAATAGATATGTTTACCCTGATTTGAATACTGTACAATGTGTATATATCAAAATATCATATGGTACCCCCCAAATACTTCCAATTTGTGTGTCAATTAAAAATAATAAATTAAATAATAATTTTCAGAGAAATATAAAGACATTCTAGAATGAAAATTCATAGTTCTAAAAATTTTATGTTGGATAACTTCTGGAAGTTAATTGAGGGTTTCTCATTCTTCCTACAATCTTCAGGAGAAATTTAGACCCATCTAAGTGGAAAGCAATCCTAGGCCTGCATGACAGCACAAATCTGACTTCTCTTCATGTAGAAACTCGGCTGATAGATCAAATTGTCATAAACCCTCACTACAATAAACGGATAAAGGACAGTGACATTGCCATGATGCATCTTGAATTTAAAGTGAACTATACAGGTAAAAGAAATTGCTTCCAGTATTCTTATCTACTCAAATTAATATACCATAATGAAATATTAATAGTATGAATGCATTAGTAGTTTATAAAAAATGCATATTTTGTTGCATTATAACTGAAATGGGATGGAGGAATTAAAGAAAATCCAACTTTCTAGAAAGGACCAATAGAATAAAATTCTTGGCATCCTCCATACCAGTACATTTTACCAGTGAACTGGTAAAAATAATTTTAAGAAAGGAGTAGCCCTGAAAAATAGGTCATGGTATTATTCGTGGCTTCTGTTTCTCAGATAATTGAATGTGGGTACATCTAGCACAAAAGAGAGGGTAAGACAAAAATTGAAAAATAGAGAGACATGTGTTCTTAGGGTATCTTAGGCTATCCATATAATTAAAGCTTTAAAGGAGAGCCAGTAATGTTACTACAGTGGCCAGTGAAGGACTTCCTCCAAGTGCCTGGAAAATGTGCAAGAAATCAACAGAGAAAGGGAATTTTATCTTGGAGGGCTCTGTCTTAGTCATTTTCTTGTCACTGGGACACAATACCAGACACACACAACTTAAAGAAGGAGAAGTTTATTTTGGCTTGCAGGATCAGCAGGCTCCAGAGGAGAAGCAGCACAGTGGAGGGGCTGAGGGGGCATAGTGGAGAACAGGTGCTTACCTCATGGTGATCAGGAAGCAGAAAGAGAAGGAAGGAGCCAGAGAGGGAACTAGACCTTTCCAGCACACACCCCCTTGTAACCCTCCTCTTTAGACCAGGCCTCACCTCCTAACAACTCATTTAGCTAAAATCTCATCAACAGACTAATCCACTGATGAGTGTGCCCCCCCTGCCATGATCCAGTCACCTCCCCAAAGTCCCACCTATGAATACACGAGGCTTTGGGGAACATCAAGATATAAATCATAACAGGCTTTACTCAGTTGTAACCTTGACTCTGAAGTCCTTTCCAATGCTCAGGAGAAAGTGTCGCAGTCTCTATGTTCTCACGAAGTTTGGGCTATAAATATATTGTAGCACTTATGAAAAGCAGACTGTTAGTATGTTTAGTTGTATAGCCCTGTCCCTGAAGGTAAAAATTGTACCTTCTTAATTTTTGTATCTGCCCTGAATTGTACAGGTAGTGAATGCTTATTGAATACCAGGTAGCTTGTAAGTTGATGCAGAATGCTTAAGAGTCTGATGAATATTAGTGCTTCCATAAGTGCACTGGAGAAAATTACAAATAATAATAATAATAATAATTATAGTTTGTCCAAGTTTCTCTTAACTGACCCCAAGAAACAGTAAAAGTGGCATTAGTTCATTGGAGCATCATGATTACTTAAAAATTAAACATAAATTATTAACTTTAGAAATATGACATTGTTCATACTCCAAAAAGAGTAATTACCAGATTATGTAAAAGACACAAAAAAGCCAAGAGGAACATCTAATAAATTGACAAAGAAAAATTGTTTTAAAATACCTTTTCCCCCTAAGACTGATGTTTAAAAGTTGTTCATGCAGAATAAACCAAAATACAGTATTTTTGGATTAAATGGTGATTGGTTTTCCAAATTTGTTAAAAACACATTTTTCTGCTGTTATTTTTTCCTGCAATTACTTTGTTTTGTTTGTTTTTCAGATTATATACAACCTATTTGTTTACCAGAGGAAAATCAAGTTTTTCTTCCAGGAAGGAATTGTTCTATTGCTGGCTGGGGAAGGCTCGTACATGGAGGTAAATTATCACATTTGAAAAAAAGAAAAGGTCTATAAAGAGAAATATGCTGTTGCACTCTCCTGTGAACATTTTTCAACATTTTTTCAACTCATACTATAATGAATAATTTTACAGTATTTACAAAGAGCCTTGTGGGGCATATTTATAATTTTATATCTTTAAAATGTTTGCAAGGTGTTTTATTCCAGAGTATATTAGAAAACTATAATCCTTTAAAGGAAGAATTCAAATATCCCTCAAACTCACTATTTAAAATTGGCATTAAAAACACTGGTAAATAGAAAAAGATACATCTAATGAAATGAGTGTAATCCAAGGTTCTAAAAATTTATTTTGGCAAAGTATAAGGAAAAAGTCTCAATAAAAGCTACATTATTATCTGTCCCACTTTCCTAATCAACAAATTTATCTTTATTTATAATGTAAAGGCCACACACTCAAGTTCCCTACAATGAGAATGAATTTCCTCCTACCTTCAACATGCTGAACCTGTCTACTGGCAACATAATTAACTATGTCATAAATCTTACATTGAAGACTATAAATTGATATATCATTGATCTCCTGATATTATTTAATAGTATGTTTTCCAAACATAAACATGCTGAATATGATTCAGCAATTCCATTGCTAGATATGGATCCAAAGGAAATGAGATCTGTATGTCAGGGAGACAGCTGCACTCCCATGTCCACTGCAGCACAGTTCACAATAGCCAAAAAGATGGAAAAAAAAAACAAAACCTATATGTTGGTCAGTGGAATGAATGACAAAAATGTGGTTCATATACAGTGACACATTATTCAGCTCTTATGGAAAGAATGAAAACCTATCATTTGTGACAACATGGATGGAACCAGACATGGAAAGACAAGTTCTCCGTGATCTCACTAATATAGGGAATAAGAAATTATTTGACAGGTCCTAAACTACAATTAAATAGGAGCAAGAAGTTCTGGTGTGCTACTGCACAGTAGGTTGACTATAGACAACAGTAATACGCTGTACATATAGAAAGGTTAGGAGAAAAGATTTTGTGTTTGCCAGAAAACAATGGATAAATGCTTGAGGCAATAGATATGTTTAACCTGATTTAAACATTACATAATGTATACATTTATAAAAACAGAAAGGTACTCCTTTAAAATGTACATTTTTCTTTTTGTGTGTGGTACTGAGGATTAAAACCAGAGCCTTCACACTAAGCTACATCCCTATTCTTTACTTAATTTTTATTTTTGAGACAGGGTCTTTCTAAGTCACTCAGTTACCAGTGCTGGGCTAGAATTTCCAATCCTCTTGCCTCAGTCTTCCAGAAATGTTCATACTTTTATGTGTCAGTTAAAAACAAAAATGAAGTTAAACAATTTAGAGCTATGTGAATCTCTCTCTCTATATATTTATCTGTTCAGCCTTTGAGGTGAACAAGAATATCTCTAAACATGAATTTTTAAAAACATTCCAGTAGTTCGTATCCTGTAAGTTTAATTCCAAGGCTCATTGACTACAGAATTCCTAATACAGTACCGCATCTACAAAATTCTGACCACTCCATTATATTAGACGAAAAAGAAAGTCTGGTAAGAGGACCCGACCTCTATAGTCATAATAAATTATAGGTGTAATGTTTAAAAGTCTTAGGTATATTTAGGATGAAAATGCACAAAATCTTGTGGAGAGTTACAGAGTTTCAGAATCAAAATACATGAAAAATATCCTTACTATTTGTCAGAGAAAGCATAAAGTTCTAAGTAGAGTGCTTGCCTGAGGACTCGGACAAAAGTTCTCCACAGCAATTGCATTATATTGTTGAAAATACCTCTTGTCTGCTCTCCATAAAGTGTATTAAAGTTAAAGATCATATATTCTTGTATTTATTTCATTTGAAGAATGTCATGATTTATTAAACTTGAAATTTAAAGAATAAAAATGATTTTCAACTAGATAGGTTTTTTTTTTCTTCAGACTTTAAAATAAAAGATATTTTATGGCCGCAATGTAGACTCCAAAAATAAATTATGCACTAACAAGATTTAAGACTCTATTCCATACAAAAAAAAAACAAAACTTGAGCTATGAGTAAACTTGGCTCATATGTACTTATTGTTACTAAAATATTTGTTTAAATGACTTAAGGAAGTCTCTAAAAGTGGATTGGAGCCAGGAAAAAGAAAACTGTATCTGAGATCAATTTCATTTAGGAATAAATGACCAGCTCATCTTTAAATACTTCTTAGGTGATTACAATTTTAATGATTTTTAAGACCGCTGCCTTATAATTTTCATCAACTAATTTCATGAAATACCAGTTTCCCAACTTGAAAGTGTATTGTATTAATTAGGTAAGAAAACGAGGAACAAATTGTTCATGAGGAAGAAGAAATGAGGTGATGTCCTTTGTTTAAATTAGGGAAATCAGTAAATTAAAAATAACTTTACTAAAATTTATATGTATAACTGTGTGTGTATGTGTGTTCCTTGTTATCCTAGTGACGAGTCATGTTGAAAATAAATATTAAATATATGCACATTTTTCAAATTTCCTTTTACCAATGAGTTTTATTATTTACTCAAACTCATTTTTTATTCATTGACAAGAACAAAAATGGCCTTGGTTTTTATTATAAAAGTAAAGTTTATCAGGCCACCCTGGATTTTCATTGGTTGTATGACAGTGAGGTGCTGAATTTTCTCTTCCATTTTGACCTCTGCAATTTATTTTCTTAAAGAGTACTTTGGAACTTTGAAAGGCATGCAGCGCTGTGCTGTTGGCTTCTCTGGCACCAGCTGGCAATAGCCATTTGTGTGCTCCTCCCAGCTTCATCTTCACTGTCACGCTAGTACCTCTAAAGCAGTCATAGAGGGAATGTTTACTCCATGCAAAACAGGAAGATACATTGGGCTTTTTTTTTTTTCTGGAGAGCCCATGATTACACATTTACCAACACATTGAGTCATATATGTTACACTGCACCTAAATCTCTCTCTCTTTCATTCTGTCTCTGTTTCTCTCTCAGACACACACACACACACACACACACACGCACACACACTTGTTTCCTTAGTCTTTTTAATGCATGAATTAAACTAAACTGAAAATGAGGTCACATACATTGTTACAACACTGACTGTCAAGTGTACTAACTTAACCCCAACTTTTTGCTTAGCCTGAGGAATCAAATAGAATTGTTAATTATTAGAAAGCACTTATCATGTTCCTTTCAGGGACACTAACACCTGCTTGTTCCTCATACCTCCTGGGATTAGTATTTCACTACACAGAGATTCATACTTCTAAAGAATGAGTCTTTTATAAAAAGGAATGGAAATATACTCTTACAAGCGCCTTCTCTCTCCTCAGCTGCATGTGGGTGACAGGCTGATTGCCCGTAGACCAGGGCACAGTTCATGGGAGCTTTGTCCTCCGCTCAATGAGCACCTGCTCACCACACAGCACCACAAAGAAGCTAAATGCTATTATACCGGAAGGAGCACCTCTTCAGGTGCCAACTGAAAGGCACTTCTGGATTTCTGAGTTGGTGCTGATTTCTATGAATGGAACTCTTTGTGTTGGCAGGCTTTATTTCCACGAGCAATATTGTAACTTTAAAATTACTGAAAATAGATAAAGATCACCTTATTTCAATCCACCATTCCTACTAGCCCTGAAGAAAGAAAGATATGCATTGCTGTTATCCATTTGGTAAAATCCACAGGTGGATTTTATTATGTCATTTAACATGCAAGGTTCATAGTTAGTTCCATTATATAGACACAATGTACTTGCTAATGAGAGTGAAATGTTGGAATAAGTAAGACTGATGGTGGTTCATTCAAGAACACAAATGGATCACTTCTGACTTGCTGGGGGCATTATCCATTTTGAGCAGGTCTTTCTCCAGACATCCTGCAAGAAGCTGATGTTCCTCTTCTATCAAATGAGAAATGCCAGCAACAGATGCCAGAGTATAATATTACCCAAAATATGATATGTGCAGGCTATGAAGAAGGAGGAACAGATACTTGTCAGGTAAATATGTCAAACTGTTCATTTTATACTTTCAGAAAGCGCTGCTGTATACTGATTTCATTGTTTAACAAAAAATTGGGTGTAAAGAAATTATCAAGGTCCCTTACCTTCGCCTCTTCTCGTATAAAACGGTGGCTTTTTGACCTATTTGCATACTCCTCCTCAGAGGACCTGAGCATTAAAAACAAAACTATTTTTTAGGAATAAGCATTACAAATCAAACGTCTTTAGAGAGACTAGGTGTAATATTTGAATATGCGAGGCAGGGACACAAAATGCAGGTTAGTGGGCCTGGACTAAGCCAGTGAATTTGTATCTTACCTAAATATGTTTATTTTCAAATTTCCAATGATCTTATGCCCTAGACAAAAAGTCAAACAAGCAAAAGAAGCCCAAGGGTCAATTTGCTCTGGAAGCCTCTAGTTTCCAACTCTGAATCTAGAGTACGGTCCAGGTATCCGGTGAATTGAAATCATTTGTAGAGAAAAACCAACCTGAATAGACTAGTTAGAGCTAGTTTACCGCTAGTTAAATGGGAAGTGAATAAAAACTTACTAGCATAGCATAACTTTGGCTCGTGACCTTGCACTTGTGAGGCAGGCGGCAGAACCACTGAGCTAAATTTTGGCCCTCTAGAACTCTTTAATAGAAAATTATTATCATCTTTTACATTTTACTTTAGAAGTGTAATAACTAACTCGGTGATGTAAGAATGTCAGTATTGCAATAAATTTGTTCTTTTTTATCTGTGTAACCATCAGAGAAAAACTCTTGCATACACTTTAGCAACTAGAAATAATGATCTCTAGTTCTCACCAATAGAAGCCATTTATAGGCTCCCTGAAATCCACATACATTCAAGAAATAATAAGTTCTGGTAAGCTTGAAATCACAAAGTTTAAGTGTGGCATAAGGTAGTTATTAAGAGCATGAGCTCTATGCCCAAGCTATTCCTGTTTGCCCCAGTTTGAAAACTTATGGATAAAACTATACAGGTCACTTGGGATTTACTGAGAAGTTTAAGTCAGATAACACATAAGGCACCACGTAAACACTCCAATTAACAGTTTTTATCATGAGGCTTAGTAAATACATTTTCTGGCATGTTTTCTGTATTTCAAAATTAATGAAATACTAATGCATCACCTACTGGGTTAGATTAAACCTGAAAGCATGACAGATCAAATAATTTACACATCTGGAAGTAGCAACTTATATCATGGGGAAATGCTTTCACTGTGTTACAGTGGAACAACTTCTTTCATATACTAATATATTTCATAACTTGACAAGGTATTTTGAACAGACATGCAGATAAATCTATATACATGTATCCTCTATCTAAATCAATGTTTCAAGCAATGTTAAACTTTTCAGCTTATTTTACCTTTATTCATCTTTGATGAACTCTTGCATATTTAAGACAAGTTAGATCTCTTTCTTCTTATTGAAAATTTACCTCCAGATCTAATATTTTCCTTTTAATATGAGAAGTGTGCTTAAGGTAAGATATATTACCACTTAGGAGATTTATGGAAATACTGTGCAGAAGGGAAATCAGCTGTACAACTTCAATTATAGCTAATGGAGATTGCATGGCAGACATTTCGTGCACTAAGCAAAAAATATGATGGCCAGTGCTATTGATGTTAGGGCTACATTAAGCCAGTAAGTCATGCCAGATATCTGAAATCTTATAGTTGGCTGCGATTTCTGCAGAGTCTAGGTATGATATTCATTAACAAGTGCCAAGACCCACACATTGTAGGATCCAAAGCTGGAGAGAGTGGCGGGAGATGAAGAAAATTGAAAAATACCAAGAAAGAAGGATATATACCAAATTATGCTTGAAAGCTGGGACCAGGTGGAACCATAGCCTGTTGAGCTAATGGCTTCCTGGAGTCCAGTGCAATCTTTATTTATATAGGAAGAGAAGGTGGAGTAACTAGTGCTACATGGCCCACGTGATTGTCTCGTGATCAGGGCATCCGCAGAAAGAGAACAGGGAAGGATACATAATGTTTCTGTCTCCTGGGGCTGTGCCATCCAGGGTCTAAAATCTTAGTCTATGAAGGAGAAAGGGAGTAGGGAGGAGGCAAAGGTCCATGTTCAGGCTTGGCCCCTGGCAAAGAGGTAAGCAATCTTTCACACACAAAAATACTTTGTGTAATCGAATGTTATCACAATTGAGTAACCAATACACTAGATTATCACGAGATTCTTGTGGTTCGACTTTAATACTATGTTTATAAGGGGATTAACTGCTTAAATAAGAATACATTATATAAAGGTATGAATTTGGTTTTGTTTGTTTTGGTACTGGGTATTAAGCCCGAGGCCTTCATTACTACCTCCTTTAAAAATATATATATATATTTTTTGAGTCTGGTTGAGGTGCTGGGTTGCCCAGGCTGAGTTCAAACTTGTGATCCTCCTGCCTTAGCTTCTCAGAGCACTGGGATTAAAGGAGTACCGTCATGCCCAGCTTGAGTATGTTCCTTAAGACTTTTTTTTAACTCAAAATTTTACCTTATTACATATTCACAAGATCTTTAATATCTTCTGGCTTCACAAAGGCTTGCACTTTTGAAGCAGTTGTCAGGATTTAAAGACAACACCAGAGAGGAGAGAATACAAAACTAGGTGAAAGCCACTGTAGTGAGCAGTCAGAACCATATGCTGTACCAGTGGTTTTCAAAGCATGATCTCCAGCCCAACAGACAGTGTCATCTAAGTACATGTCAGAAGCACAAATCCTCAGGTGGCATCACGCACCTGATGTATCAGGAACTCTCAAGTTAGGGCTTAACAGTGTTTGCATTGTCCCCTGTAGGTGATTCTGGTACATAGTCAAGTTTGAAAACCACAATTCTAAACAAAAATGGTCACCAATCATCACACTCATTCTCAAAGAAAGTAGTGATTTTTCCTTTCATTTACAAATATAGTGTCCATTTGGGGAGACATTTTTAAAGTTAACATTTCATCTTCTGGATATTCATTTTATTTTTGAAGCACTTTTACATCCTTGAGAATAGTGGAAGAAGGAAATATCACTGAAAAAATACAAAATTCAAGACAAGAAGTTACATAGCTAAACTGAAATGATGTAGTTAGATGAGAAATGATGGAAACACAGCTAGGTCTCCTGACCAGATAGACAGAATGGTAACAGGCCTGCTGCATGGTGCATGAGCAACTGTAACTGACCCAGCATAGTTAAAATCCTTGTCCAATCTGTGGATCTCTCATATCTATTAAAAATTAAATTATTTTATTATACATGAAGAGAATCAAGTGTCTCCTTTAAAAAATATCCAAGTAGTTGAAATTTATTTTAAATAATTTATAAACCATTTATAATATATTTTGAGCCTTGGATAAATACTGGTCCATAAATATTTCTGAACTCATATAAAGACTTAGGGTTTAAGTTGCAAAACCAAAAATTACAGTCCCTGTCTTCAAACAGCTTGAAGGTGTTTGTTACATCTGGATTATGGGTAACATATGGTTGCCAAGGTGACTTAGGTTCCTCTGCACCCAAGAGAAAAATTAAATGTGTTTTGATAGCTTACATTTTTATCCTTTTAATATAACATAGGGTCCAAAGATGATAATCAGGCAAAAAATTTGAGTATATTTTCTAATATAAATCTAATGTTATAATAGTCTGTTACATCAGTGGTTTCAAATAAAGTATAGGAGGCTTTAAATTATTTCTTAAATTCATTTAGAATTAATTTTTAAATATTCACATAATTGATATTTAAGAAATATTTGCCAACTACTGTAATTAAATGACAATATATTCTCCATTATCTTCATTTTTATCACAAAGGATTCATTATGTACAAATAAAAATTATGTAATTACCTCTAATAGAATGAGCTATAATTAATGTTTGTGAAAATTAAAAACATTTCTCTATCAGTAGAAATCTCTAATGAAAACACATGTTCTCATGACTACAAATTATATCAAAGGTCTGTCTATTTCAGTTGAAATGTTAAGGTTTTCAAATCTGATTATGTTTATCAAATACCAAAAAGTTATTTCTACCCAAAAGAACTAAAAGCTACAATCAACAGTATTTGTGTTTTTAATTTTTCTAAAATCAAACTGTGGAATAATTTGTCTTATATAGATATATAGATATATAGAGAAGATATATATATACAGAGAGAGAGAGATATGAAAGACATAGAGTATATCTTCTCCATATACAATAGAGTATATCTCCTTTAATAAGAGGATTAATTTATATTTTTGTTGTGATTTTTTTATTGAGCCTTATAGAATTTCTCAGTACCCATTAAAATATTATAATTAAGGTGAAGAGATACTTGCTAAAAATGCATTATAAAATATATAAATTATATCTTAGTCATCATAGTTTGCTTTGTCTCTTTACTGAGAAGCAAAATGTTTTCATTCATGATCTAGAGTGATAATGAATATACATATACAAATAACTTGCAATTAAATGTTTCTGAATATTTATTTTTTACTAATTTGCTAAAAATAATCTTATATACTTAAATAAATTGACCACATATCCACAACTTTCTTTTGTGATTCATTCTTTAGGGAGATTCAGGAGGACCACTAATGTGCCAAGAAAACAACAGATGGTTCCTTGTTGGCGTGACATCATTCGGATACGAGTGTGCACGGCCTAATCGCCCTGGGGTGTATGTTTTGGTCTCAAGGTTCACACAATGGATACAAAATTTTCTACATTAGAGTGTTTTTTTAAACCAAAAATGAACAAGGTCCACTTTTCACCTTTCATCCTAAAGATCATGGAAATTGAGACATTTATATGAAAAAATTATTAAAAATTGTATTTTTACCTAAGCTACCAAAATGCCAGGGCAAGAGGGTTAAATAAAAAAAAATAACTATAATTAATAACTTTGCAATGCAAAGTAACTTTAAAATATATTTTGATTTTGTTGGTAATGACTGTATTTTAACAGATATTTTATTTGTCTTTAATCACTTTACCATTTTCTGTTATTTAAAGGGATATTATTTTAAATATACATGATACATTTCAATAAGTATGAGAATTATTAGGAAGTGAAATAAGTTATTTTGCCAAAGCATATCATCATTTAAAATAAAGTGCTATAAATAGTCTGGTTCCAGTTAACTTGGTATTATTAGAATTTCAATGGTTTTCTTGCTTTTTCATCTAAATGCATTTCATCTAAATCTATTTTTCTTGAAAATAAAGTTAATGTTTTGCTAGGTCATAACAATATTTACTGTGAGTTCATGTCACAAATCTGTGACATGATTGATTAAGTACTGCCCTCAGATAAAGCTATAGAGTAAATATACACAGGGCTATATATAACTCTTTAGCATCAAACTAAAAAGTGAACTAACTTATATGGTCTTTCTATACCATTCTTTCTTTTAGCTAGATTATTCATACTTTCCATTTATTTCAAGTTCATATTTTTAAAACTCAAAAATAAATATACCAAAGAAATGCAACTATCAGAAATATTTTTCTCAGTTTATATGTTATAGTGAATATTTCTTACATGTGAAAACCTTAGACACAGCTGAATTGCCCTTTTAGAAAGGCAAAAATGTGTAGTAAATGAATTTGTTTCACTTCTTTAATTCCTTGGGACATTTCCAGAGTAACTGCAAACTTCAATTTAGCTCACCACGGAGAATGTATGGTAAGAAAGAATCTGTGGGAGAAAGTATTCATACATCCTTAATTATATTTGCTCCTGTGAGCAAATATAATAAAAGAAACAATGAGATTTAGAGGAGTTGAAAGAAGGGACCAATTAGTACGGATTAGACTTAAGAAAGAAAGAAGATGAGCTACGCATGAAGAAATGATTAGTATGATGCATTTAAGACTCTATTGGGGAGCAGGAAGAGCAGTTAGTGGAGAATCATATGTTGTGGTACCAAAAGATGCTTTCATTGGAGTACAGTCAGAGAAGGGGAAACAATGGTATCTGAAGACATTGTGGCCAAATGATGAGCCAAAAATTCCCAGTATTGTAGGATTCATTCTTCAGACAAAAATAAGGAGTCTCTGAACACATTCTTGTTAAGAACTTTCTAACGACCCATTCTAAAAGGAAGGATGGAGCAGTAGGGGTAAAGTATGTTGTATGTGTCTAATACCTGAAGATTTTTCCATATTATAGCTACATTTTCCAACATATATTAAAAGTGTTTTCTGTAAACACAAACACAACAGACATACTTGTACTCATTTTCAGTTTGTAGAGGTCAGGTAAAATTTTAAGAAACATTTAGGAAAATGTATAGCTACCACCTTCCAATAAGGAGGAAGTTTATTTTCCTATCCTTAGTCACTTATGGGTTTAGTCACTGATACCCAAGGAGTTATCAAGACCTGAATAAAAATAAAAGGCAAAACCAAGTCCTTTCTCCATTGTTTCGCTGCTTCGCCCTTGCAGCTGTTGTAAAACTAGCTTGTACAGTTTCCCTTCCATCAAGTCCTGACTAAAGGAGGAAACACATGGTGATAGATTAAGGAGGATGTAGATCATAGCAGCTTGTCTACCCTTCTACCCAGATAGGTGGGCTGCCAACACGGTGCCTAGAAGATCTAAGATCAGAATCCAGCTGTTCATTCTATCAGTCTGAAAAGGAGCCCATGAAATCGACCATGATTTTCTATTTTGCCTCTTAGTTTTGTCACAGAACTCTGGTTACTTTACTTCCAGAAAACATTTTATTGTCCATCTGAAACAGATTGACAAGGAAAAGATTGTTTATCCACAAAGTCATTCTTATCACCCTTAAACAGTAATTTGTTTCATCTTCATGTAGTGATGAAACGTGTCTGACAATTATTGACATAAGAGATTTAGACACCACCAATAATCATTCTTCAGAAACAAGAACTCTTTATTTGGTTAAAAGGAGCTCAGGGACATTTGAAGACCAAATAGTAACAACTTGAGAGAACAAGTCACAAGCATTGAAAACTAGGAGACGATAGACAGCAAGGAGCCATTGTTTACTAACAGGAACAAATTCTCATCAATGAATATTAAATCACTGATGACCTCCAACACATGCCACACTAATTCATCTAATCTGGGATGTTTATTTTTCCCATCCTGAAATGTTGGTGTACTGTGCTTAGCTCCACTCTGGTGGCAACCATTCACTTGGTCCCAATTATAAGACCTTTTTATGTACTAATAGAGGCTAAACTCAGTGAGAAAAACCTTACACAAACTCTGAAACTCTCTGCCTCCAATGTCAACTCCAACCCCAAACAATTATCATCATTTAAGTGGTAAAGGAGGGACCATGTTGATTCTAGAACCCTCAGAGAGCTAGTTGTAGTTAGTTATATAGGCAACATGTGAAGACATATGAGTAATATTGTCTATGCCTCATTTTTGTTCAATATTTACTGCGTTATGACTATACAGCTATTAGTAAAGTTATTTAATTACAAAATCTGTTGAATTTTAAACTAAAAATAATTGTAAGGCACATGTCTTGAACAATTGAAATTAGACAGTTCTTGCCTCTAAGGAAAATATTTCTGGAAATTACACCACAGTTAATGAAACAGCTTCTTATTTCTGAATAGATTTCCTAAACATTGTCCAACCAAAAGCACAGAAACTGAAAAAAGATGAATAATTTCCAGAAAAGAAATTTTTATGGTAATATATTTGTGTGTGTGTGAATTCAGTTGAAAACAGTGATACATTTCTTCAATCAAAACACCATGTATTGAAAAATGGAATGTCATAAAAATAAATATTAGAAGAGGCCACTTTTATCAAATGCTTATGCAAGGGTAAAATGCTTTTGCAGACTCCAAATTTCAATACAATTTATATTATATTAACTAAATTACAACTTATGAAAGGTGAAAGAAATAAAAATAACTGCTTTCAACACATATACTCCTGATGTGCTAACAGTAGTTTTATCTGCATGGTCCGTTTCATTTTCTTTAAGTTTGGGTGCATCCTTTAGCAAAATAAGCAAGTCTCACTCCATTATTAGTACAGCACATTTTTGTAAATGAAATAATAACCATATAAAAAGTATTTTGATATTTGCCTCAAGGGGGAGCTTACAGTTCATTTTGCAGATCCTTTGAGATATCAAGCCATTCCAAGCTAATGTTCTGATGTCATTCCTTACACGGATCCAGAATTATAAGATTATTTTCTTTTCTGGAGCCAAGTCAATGAATTATTATACTTCCATGCCACTTTCCTTTCTGGTGCTCTTTGAAATCCACAGTGTCGACTGGTTTGGACTCGTTTTTGTTCTTCCTTTACTGAAAGACATGAGAAGAAAAAAGTTCAGTGTCTGACACTTCTTATAAAACAGAGCATGTCTTGGTCCGGATGGTGATATCTCAGATACTTATTTACAAAAGAATCCTTCTTCTCTCACTAGCATATTTTTCCATTCCTACAAAAAATTCTGGATTATTTCAGTGTGTGAGGATAGCAAGCAGTTCTTATGACTGATGAGAAACAAAAATGTATCTTTTATCTGTTTGATTCCTCATAACTTATAGTTTAGATGCACACATATAAAGACATGTCTGTCACAATACTAAAAATTTCCTTTTAATCCCCATTGAACTTATTTTCTGTTTCTTTGATCAATGACTTTTGAAATCTTGCTTTCTGAGTATCTTGTCACTAATGCATGCTGAATTTAATATCAAATCAGAACAAATGTTATGGTTGGAGCTGTGTGTAAGGAGCTGCCTATTTCCTTGCTCTCATCAGTTTTCCCTTCTTATACTATAGTTTTCCCATTACTTGGCTCGCGAAAGCTTAGTTGTGCCCTCATCTCTTAAACCAATGTAATTCAAGACCAGACTCGGCTCTGGTAATTTAGGAGTAACTGAATTCTTCCTTCAAGTCTGAGGTAAAACTTTACTCTTGTTTGAGTTGGAATTCATTTCTAGAACCTGCGAGGGTTCAATTTCTTGTCAAGATGTTCATTCATTGGTCTAGTTTCCTGGGGATGCTCTCTCCCCAGGATCTTCATTCTTGCCTCTCACTGATCACTGTGTTTGGTATTCTCGGCTGAGCACCTTCTCAAGTCTCCAGCACCTGCCCCAGGCCTGTAGGCAGGCCTCTCCCATCCCAGCCTCAGCCACCAGACACTGACGAACTCCTTCAAAGACAGAAGGGAGCTCTTTTTACACACATTCTACCATTCCATTTAAAATATATTACTTAGGGCTGGGGATTTAACTCAGTGGTTCCACTGCCTGCCTCGCAAGCACAAGGTCCCGAGTTCAATCCCCAGTACCAAAAAAATATATATTAAAAAAGTTATTAAAGGCTGCACACAGGAAGGTCTGTGGATGCTCTACCGAGGTCCTCAGTCATGAGGAAGACACCGAATCACCCCACTGTAGACAGGCAGCCACCTTGTTCCACACTACAAAGACGCAGAGGACACCAGACCACCAGACCAAGGTACTGAGTCCTGCTGGTCCCAGCCCAGAGGTAGGGGCTTCTGAGCCATCATCCCACTGCTCCTGGTCAAGAGGAAAGGGTTTTTGGGCCACCATCCCTCCCGCTGCTCCCGGCCCCTGTCCCACCTCATCCAGCTCACAGGAAGTAATCCGTGCAGGCGCTAACAGCCCCCC